CCAGGTCTAATCGGCATCTTACCCTTTTATTAGTATAGATTATTTATTTATTTATTTATTTATTTTAAAAAATATATTTTATTGATTTTTTACAGAGAGGAAGGGAGAGGGAGAGAGAGCTAGAAACGTCGATGAGAGAGAAACATCAACCAGTTGCCTCTTGCACACCGCCTACTGGGGATGTGCCCGCAACCAATGTACATGCCCCTGACTGGAATCGAACTTGGGACCCTTCAGTCCCCAGACTGACACTCTACCACTGAGCCAAACCGGTTTGGGCTAGTATAGATTTTTTTAAAAATATATTTTATTGATTTTTTACAGAAAGGAAGGGAGAGAGATAGAGAGCTAGAAACGTCAATGAGAGAGAGAAACATCGATCAGCTGCCTCTTGCACGCCCCCTACTGGGGATGTGCCCACAACCAAGGTCCATGCCCTTGACCGGAATCGAACCCGGGACCTTTCAGTCCACAGGCCGACGCTCTACCACTGAGCCAAACCGGTTATGCTAGTATAGATTTTTAAAAATGAGTGATGATGATACCATGTGGCTCAGTGATTGAGTGTCAACCTATGACTCAGAAGGCCAGGCCTGGGCTGCGGGCTCCATCCCCGATGGGGGGCGAGCAGGAGGCAGCCGGTCATGATTCTCTGTCATCGTGGATGTTTCTCTGCCACTCCCTTAATCTCTCTGAAATAAAATTTAAAAACCTGTAATAATAAAGCATTATATGCTAATTATGCCAGACATCATTCTGTACGTCCTTCGGGATGACCTTCCGGACAAAGCCGGGGCGTGAAGGAAGGCGGGGTCCCGGGTGCCAGAGGGGAAGGAAGGCCTACGCTCCCACGAATCTCGTGCACCGGAGCCTCTAGTTTTAAAATAAAACCAAACCCCACGTGGGAGACGTTACAGGACAGACAACCAGGTTTTTCCCCGACAGATATACAAAAAACAAACAAACAAACAAACAAACAAACAAACAAAAAATAGTCCTAGCCAGTTTGGCTCAGTGGTTAGAGCATCGGCCCTGTAGACTGAAGAGTCCCGGGTTCAATTCTGGTCAAGGGCGTGTACTTCCGGGGCAGGCTCCATCCCCAGCCCTGGTTGGGGTGCATGTGAGAGGCAACCAATTGATGTGTCTCTCTCACATCGATGTTTCTCTCTCTTTCTCCCTCCCTCCCTCCCTCCCTTCCACACTCTCTAAAACAGAACAACACACCGAAACCGGTGTGGCTCAGTGGATAGAGCGTTGGTCTGCGGACTGAAGGGTCCCGGGTTCGATTCCGGTGAAGGGCATGTATGATACCTTGGTTGCAGGCACATCCCCAGTGGGGGGCGTGCAGGAGGCAGCTGATCGATGATTCTCTCTCATCGATGTTTCTAGCTCTCTGTCAAAAATCAATAAAATATTTTTTAAAAAAAAATAAATAAATAAAACATAAAAAAATTAATAAAATATATTTTTAAAAATAAAATAAAGCAGAACAACCCACACACAAAATAAATGGAGAGGACAGGAACCTCTAGATGAGCAGGTTCTGTCTCTGGCCCAGGACAGGTCACATGACCCAGGCCCTGCCAGTCCCGGTGCCCTAACCATTGTGCCCTCTCCCTGCTGTGATTGGCCCAGAAGGGGTCACCTGACCCAGAGCAGCTGCCTGAGGGAAGCAGATGGGGAAGTCCAGCCCCTTGTCCCGCTGTCCTGACCACGTCCCTGCATTCCTCCCCGCCGGGGGGACGGGCACATTCCTTCAAATATAAAAAAATAAAAGGCTTTGTTTTCCTTTTGAATTTTTACGAGTTTATGGGAGCCAACCTGATGACGTGCGCCGGGCGGGCCGGATTTCCGATGCTTTTATTTTATTTTATTTTAATTTAATTTTTTAAAAATATATTTTATGGATTTCGTACAGAGAGGAGGGAGATAGAAACATCGATGAGAGAGAGTCATCCATCCGCTGCCTCTTGCACACACCCCCCCCCCCACCGGGGATGTGCCCGCAACCAAGGTCCACGCCTTTGACCGGAATCGAACCCGGGACCTTTCAGTCCGCAGGCTGACGCTCTATCCACTGAGCAACACCGCTTTCGGCTCTCCGATGCTTTTAAAAACCAGCTTTATGAGGAAGATACATTCAGGGGGCTCTTACCGTTCCCCCTCCCTCCCCACGTGTTCGTCAATAAATCTCCACCGTTGCGATACAGAAAAAGGTAAAATAGAATTTTAGAAAAAAATAGCACACGGCATACAGTCCACCCGTGTGACACATATGACAGTCTGTGGTTTTCAGGGCGCTCGCCGGGCTCTGCAGCCGTCAGCCCATCAATTGTGGGGCCTTGTCATCGCCCCAGGAGGGGACCCCGTTAACAGTCCCTCCCGTTCCCAGCTCCCTCCCCACACCTCGGCCTCAGCCAGCCACTTCGGTCCTCTCTGCCTCCGGCCTGGTCTTTTTAAAAAATATATATTTTATTGATTTTTCACAAAGAGGAAGGGAGAGGGATAGAGAGTTAGAAACATCGATGAGAGAGAAACATCCATCAGCTGCCTCCTGCACACCCCCCACCGGGGATGTGCCCGCAACCAAGGTCCATGCCCCTGACCGGAATCGAACCCGGGACCTTTCAGTCCGCAGGCTGATGCTCTATCCACTGAGCCACACCGGTTAAGGCTCAAGTTTATCTTTTAGATACCATCCGTAGGGCGAGTCATGTTGTGAGTCCACGTGTGTCTGAGATGTCCACTAAGCAAGAGCACTCAAAGATTATGCATACGGATTCCAGTCAACACCCGGGGCTCTGCGTGTGCACAGACTAACTGGCAGAAGTCCAGGGATAATTGGGGCGACGCCTTCAACATGCCCTGAGTCTTCCCTAATTCCGAATTCCCACAAACTGGGCGGGCGAACTTCCGTACACTTCCCTTTCCTCGGAATGTTTTATTATTTTTCCCTTGATTTTTTCTTCATTTAATATATATATATTTTTTATTGATTTTTCAGAGAGGAAGAGAGATAGAGAGTTAGAAACATCGATGAGAGAGAGACATCGATCAGCTGCCTCTTGCACACCCCCCACTGGGGATATGCCCGCAACCAAGGTCCATGCCCTTGACCGGAATCGAACCTGGGACCCTTCAGTCTGCAGGCTGACGCTCTATCCACTGCGTGTCGGTTTCAGCGTCTTCATTTTTTTTTTATTAAGGTATTATCTGTGTACATATGTTACCATTGCCCCCACTCCCATACATGCCCTCCCTCCTGAGTTTTGTGTCCATTGGTTGTGCGTATATGCATGCACACAGGTCCTTCGGTTGATCTCTTCTCTCCCCCAGCTCTCCCTCCCCTCCCCGCTGTCATTGGACAGTCTGCTTGTTGCTTTACTGTCTCTGTATCTGTCTTTTGGTTCATCGGTTTATAATGTTCCTTATTATCCATAAATGAATGAGGTCCTGTGGTGTTTCTCTTTCATTGACTGGCTTATTTCACTCAGCATGATGTTCTCCAGTTCCATCCAGGTTGCTGCAAATGATGAGAATTCCTTCTTTTTTTTATGGCGGCATAGTATTCCATTGTGTAGATGTACCATGGTTTTTTGATCCAATCATCTGCTGACGGGCACCTAAGCTGTTTCCAAATCCTAGCGATTGTAGATTGTGCTGCTATGAACATAGGGGTGCATAGGTCCTTTCTGATTGGTGTTTCTAGTCCTTACAAACTTCCCGAGTCTCCTGGGCTTCCCAACGGATCGGCTGCCTCCTGCATGCTCCACACTGGGGATGGAGCCCGCAACCCGGGTACATGCCCTTGACCGGGAACCGAACCCTGACCTCCTGGTCCATTGGCGGATGCTCAACCACTGAGCCACACAGGCCGGGTGCAGGCGGGGCTGAGGGACACCCTCCCCTCCCCGCCCCATGCATGAATTTTAGTATATAAAGAAAGAAGGGCCGAGACCAGTTTGGCTCAGTGGATAGAGCGTTGGTCTGCGGACTGAAGGGTCCCAGGTTCGATTCCAGTCAAGGGCATGGACCTTGGTTGCAGGCACATCCCCAGTAGGAGGTGTGCAAGAGGCAGCTGATCGATGACTCTCTCTCATCAATGTTTCTAACTCTCTATCCCTCTCTCTTCCTCTCTGTAAAATATCAATAAAATATATTAAAAAGATAGAGAGAAAGAAAGAAAGAAAGAAAGAAAGAAAGAAAGAAAGAAAGAAAGAAAGAAAGAAAGAAAGAAAGAAAGAAAGAAAGAAAGAGAAAGAAAGCCAAAGCCGGTTTGGCTCAGTGGATAGAGCGTTGATCTGCAGACTGAGGGGTCCCAGGTTCGATTCCGGTCAGGGGCATGTACCTAGTGGGGGGCGTGCAGGAGGCAGCTGGTCGATGATTCTCTCTCATCGATGTTTCTGACTACCTGACCCTCTCCCTTCCTGTCTGTGAAAAATCAATAAAATGTATTTTAAAAAAATAAAATAAGCCGAAACCGGTTTGGCTCAACGGATAGAGCGTCGGCTTGGGGACTGAAGAGTCCCAGGTTCGATTCCAGTCGAGGGCATGTACCTTGGTTGCGGGCACATCCCCAGTGGGGGGTGTGCAGGAGGCGGCTGGTCGATGTTTCTCTCTCATTGACATTTCTAACTCTCTATCCCTCTCCCTTCCTCTCTGTGCAAAATCAATAAAATATATTTAAAAAAAATAAAATAAAATAAAAAAAGAAGGGAGACGCCTTGAGATGTGTCCAACCAGTTTAATGGTGATGAAACCGTGCGGATGCCAAATTACAGAGCAGAGGACAGGCCCGGCGGAGGCCTGGGGGGGGGTGGGGGGCACTACAGCTCGGACAGGGGGCGGGAGGAGACGCTAACGCTGACGGGGGCGGGGACGCCCGCTGGCCGCTCAGACCAGCCGTTCCCCGGAGGGGTGCGGGGTGCGGGGTGCGGGGGGGGGGGGGGGGAGGGGACATGCATGCGCCGTCCACGCCGGGGCAGGAGCGGGCGGCAGCGTCACTCCCTCACGTAGATCCTGGTGCAGACCACGTCGTCGGCGCCGAAGGTCTGGAAGGGAAGGAACAGTGACAGCCGATCGCTAACGAGGCCGCTGACCACCCTGTGAAAGACGCTCTGAGCCCAAACCGGTGTGGCTCAGTGGATAGAGCCTCGGCCTGCGGACGGAAGGGTCCCGGGTTCGATTCCGGTCAAGGGCATGTGCCTTGGTTGCGGGCACATCCCCGGTGGGGGCGTGCAGGAGGCAGCCGATTTGTGATTCTCTCTCATCACTGATGTTTCTCTCTCTCTCTCCCTTTCTCTAAAATCAATAAAAAAATATATATTTAAGAAAACACACAGACACACACACACACACACACACACGCCGAAACCAGTTCAGCTCAGTGGATAGAGCGTCGGCCTGCGGACTGGGGGGTCCCGGGTTCGATTCCGGTCAAGGGCATGTACCTTGGTTGCGGGCACAGCCCCAGTGGGGGGTGTGCAGGAGGCAGCTGGTCGATGTTTCTCTCTCATCGACGTTTCTAGCTCTCTATCCCTCTCTCTTCCTCTCTGTAAAAAATCAATAAAATGTTAAAAAAGAAAAAAAAAAGCCTGTACCTGTCCTGGCCAGTGTTGCTCAGTAGATAGAGCCACAGACTGAAGGGTCCCGGGTTTGATTCCCGGTCAAGGGCACAGGCCTGGGTTGCAGGCTCCCTCCCCAGTGGAGGGCGTGCAGGAGGCAGCTGATCTATGATTCTCTCTCCTCATGGATGTTTCTCCCCCTCCCTCCCTCTCTGAAATCCATAGAAATATATTGAAAAGGATTAAAAAGGATCCTTCCAGCTAAATGCAATGACTCTCGCGTGTTTGTTTGCTGTGGGGAGGATGTAAGCTGCGTCCCCTCTCCCCCAACCAGCAACAAATGACCCAGAGGCGGGGTCCCTGGGGCCCTCCCGGGCAGCGGAGCAGGGAGACCCACCCTCGTTTATTTTTATTCTTCCTGAGTCTTCACCCGAGGGTATTTCCCCGTTTATTTTTAGAGAGAGCGGGAAGGGAGGGAGAAACACAGAGAGAGAGAGAGATACATCGATGGGTTGCCTTCTACCCGCACAATGACCAGGGCCTGGGATGGAGCCTGCAAGCCAGGTATGTGCCCTTGACCGGGAACCGAACCCAGGACCCTTCGGTCTGCAGGCTGATGCTCTATCCAGTGAGCAACACCGGCCAGGGCCCCAAATGCATTTTTAAAAATATATATATTTTATTGATTTTACAGAGAGGAATTAGAGGGATAGAGAGTTAGAAACGTCGATGATAGAGAAACACCGACCAGCTGCCTCTTGCACACTCCCTACCGGGGCTGTGCCTGCAACCAAGGTCCATGCCCTTGACCGGAATCGAACCCGGGACCTTTCAGTCCACAGGCCGACGCTCTATCCACTGAGCCAAACCGGTCTCGGCCCAAATGCATTTTTTAAAAACCCACAAAGCAGCTCTAACTGGTGTCCGTGATTCTCTCTCATCATGGATGTTTCTCTCTCTCTCTCCCTCTTCTTTCCTCTCTGAAACCAATAAAAATATATTTTTAAAAAAATGTTTTCGGAATATTTTTATTTTTTATTTATTTAAAAATATATACTTTATTGATTTTTTACAGAGAGAAAGGGAGAGAGGTAGAGAGCCAGAAACATCGATGAGAGAGAAACATCCATCAGCTGCCTCCTGCACCCCCCCACTGGGGATGTGCCCGCAACCAAGGTCCATGCCCTTGCCCGGAATCGAACCCGGGACCCTTCAGTCCGCAGACCGACGCTCTGTCCACTGAGCCACACCGGCTTCGGCGACATCAGAATAGGGTAGAGCTCCCCTTCTCCAGGTCTGAGCCCCTCCCCACTGACCTCCATGTCCTGTTATCCCTGAGACACTTCCCAGCTCTGCCCCACCCCAAGTCAGCCTGGGGATGGACATGATGGGTCTCTACGCCTCCCAGCCCCGACTTTCCCGGTGGGTCTGTGGGGAGGGGGGAGGAGGGAGCCTGAGGCTTGGAGCTGGGGATGGGATTTGTGGGGGGGGCAGCCTCTCAGAGTCAGAATGGGGGGGGACAGCCTCTCAGAGTCAGCATGGGGGGGGCAGCCTCTCAGTCAGCATGGGGGGGACAGCCTCTCAGAGTCAGCATGGGGGGGGGACACAGCCTCTCAGAGTCAGCATGGGGGGGACAGCCTCTCAGTCAGCATGGGGGGGGCAGCCTCTCAGAGTCAGCATGGGGGGGGCAGCCTCTCAGTCAGCATGGGGGGGGCAGCCTCTCAGAGTCAGCATGGGGGGGGCAGCCTCTCAGTCAGCATGGGGGGGGCAGCCTCTCAGAGTCAGCATGGGGGGGGACAGCCTCTCAGAGTCAGCATGGGGGGGGCAGCCTCTCAGAGTCAGCATGGGGGGGGACAGCCTCTCAGTCAGCATGGGGGGGGACAGCCTCTCAGAGTCAGCATGGGGGGGGACAGCCTCTCAGTCAGCATGGGGGGGCAGCCTCTCAGAGTCAGCATGGGGGGGGGACAGCCTCTCAGTCAGCATGGGGGGGGACAGCCTCTCAGAGTCAGCATGGGGGGGGACAGCCTCTCAGTCAGCATGGGGGGGCAGCCTCTCAGAGTCAGCATGGGGGGGGGACAGCCTCTCAGTCAGCATGGGGGGGGCAGCCTCTCAGTCAGCATGGGGGGGGCAGCCTCTCAGAGTCAGCATGGGGGGGGGCAGCCTCTCAGTCAGCATGGGGGGGGCAGCCTCTCAGAGTCAGCATGGGGGGGGACAGCCTCTCAGTCAGCATGGGGGGGACACAGCCTCTCAGAGTCAGCATGGGGGGGGGCAGCCTCTCAGTCAGCATGGGGGGGGACAGCCTCTCAGTCAGCATGGGGGGACAGCCTCTCAGTCAGCATGGGGGGGCAGCCTCTCAGAGTGAGCATGGGGGGGGACAGCCTCTCAGTCAGCATGGGGGGGGGGCAGCCTCTCAGTCAGCATGGGGGGGCAGCCTCTCAGAGTGAGCATGGGGGGGGACAGCCTCTCAGTCAGCATGGGGGGGACAGCCTCTCAGAGTCAGCATGGGGGGGACAGCCTCTCAGAGTCAGCATGGGGGGGGGCAGCCTCTCAGTCAGCATGGGGGGGCAGCCTCTCAGTCAGCATGGGGGGGCAGCCTCTCAGTCAGCATGGGGGGACACAGCCTCTCAGTCAGCATGGGGGGGCAGCCTCTCAGTCAGCATGGGGGGGGCAGCCTCTCAGTCAGCATGGGGGGGCGCGGATGCTGGCCGCAGCCACCTCCAGCCCCTGCTCTGCCTCTGACGGAAGCTGTCACCGTGGGCTTTCTGCCTGTGTTAACGGGCAGACAGCGTCTCTGAGCCCCGGACGGGAGGTGGACCGGGCGGGCCAGGCACACAGTGGGTGGGGGAGCGGGTGGGAGAGCGCACAGTGGGTGGGCCAGGGCACAGTGGGTGGGGAGCGCACAGTGGGTTGGGTAGCGCACAGTAGGTGGGGGAGTGCACACAGTGGGTGGGGGAGTGCACACAGTGGGTGGGGGAGCGCACACAGTGGGTGGGGGAGCGCACAGTGGGTGGGGGAGCGCACAGTGGGTGGGGGAGCGCACACAGTGGGTGGGGGAGCGCACACAGTGGGTGGGGGAGCGCACACAGTGGGTGGGGGAGCGCACACAGTGGGTGGGGGAGCGCACAGTGGGTGGGGGAGTGCACACAGTGGGTGGGGGAGTGCACACAGTGGGTGGGGGAGTGCACACAGTGGGTGGGGGAGCACACAGTGGGTGGATCAGGCGCACAGTGGGTGGGGAGCGCACAGTGGGTGGGGGAGCACACAGTGGGTGGGGGAGTGCACACAGTGGGTGGGGGAGCGCACAGTGGGTGGGGGAGTGCACACAGTGGGTGGGGGAGCGCACAGTGGGTGGGGGAGTGCACACAGTGGGTGGGGGAGCGCACAGTGGGTGGGGGAGTGCACACAGTGGGTGGGGGAGCGCACAGCGGGTGGGGGAGCGCACACAGTGGGTGGGGGAGCGCACACAGTGGGTGGGGGAGTGCACACAGTGGGTGGGGGAGCGCACACAGTGGGTGGGGGAGCGCACAGTGGGTGGGGGAGCGCACAGTGGGTGGGGGAGCGCACAGTGGGTGGGGGAGTGCACACAGTGGGTGGGCTAGGGCACACAGTGGGTGGGGAGCGCACAGTGGGTGGGCGGGCGCACAGTGGGTGGGGGAGTGCACACAGTGGGTGGGGGAGCGCACAGCGGGTGGGGGAGCGCACAGTGGGTGGGGGAGTGCACACAGCGGGTGGGCTAGGGCACACAGTGGGTGGGGGAGCGCACAGTGGGTGGGGGAGCGCACACAGTGGGTGGGGGAGCGCACAGTGGGTGGGGGAGTGCACACAGTGGGTGGGTCAGGCGCACAGTGGGTGGGGGAGCACACAGTGGGTGGGGGAGCGCACACAGTGGGTGGGGGAGCGCACACAGTGGGTGGGGGAGCGCACAGTGGGTGGGGGAGCGCACAGCGGGTGGGGGAGCGCACAGTGGGTGGATCAGGCGCACAGTGGGTGGGGAGCGCACAGTGGGTGGGGGAGCACACAGTGGGTGGGGGAGTGCACACAGTGGGTGGGGGAGCGCACAGTGGGTGGGGGAGTGCACACAGTGGGTGGGGGAGCGCACAGTGGGTGGGGGAGTGCACACAGTGGGTGGGGGAGCGCACAGTGGGTGGGGGAGTGCACACAGTGGGTGGGGGAGCGCACAGCGGGTGGGCGGGCGCACAGTGGGTGGGGGAGTGCACACAGTGGGCGGGGGAGCGCACACAGCGGGTGGGGGAGCGCACAGTGGGTGGGCGGGCGCACAGTGGGTGGGGGAGTGCACACAGTGGGTGGGGGAGTGCACACAGCGGGTGGGGGAGCGCACAGCGGGTGGGGGAGCGCACAGTGGGTGGGGGAGTGCAGAGCAGGTGGGGAGCGCACAGTAGGTGGACCAGGAACAGTAGGTGAGCGAGCGCCCGGGGCGGGGACTCCCGTTGGGCACCGTGGGGGATGGGGCGGGCCTCACCAGGATGAGCTCGTCGTTGGCCAGCTCGCGGGTCCAGTAGGTCTTGGGGCCGTCCCCCTCCAGGAGGGTCTGCGTGCAGTGGATCTTGTTCTCGCTCTCCCACGTGGGCAAGCTCTGCGGGCGGGAACGCGGGGCGACACGCGTGACAACACGCGTGACACTGGGTCGTGGCGGGGGAGCCGGGACGAGGGCCAGGGCACGGCCGGCGGGGCTCCGGCCCCCCCCCCCAGGCACCCAGGCCATATTCGGGGTGCTGGCTGCGGATGGATGGGGCGTCCATACCAAGGTGACCAGACATCCTGCGTCGTTTTAAAAAAGTCCCGAGTTTGCCAGGACCGGTGTGGCTCAGTGGATAGAGCGTCGGCTTGGGGACTGAAGGGTCCCGGGTTCGATTCCGGTCAAGGGCATGGACCTTGGTTGCGGGCACATCCCCAGTAGCGGGTGTGCAAGAGGCAGCTGATCGATGACTCTCTCTCATCGATGTTTCTAACTCTCTATCTCTCTCCCTTCCTCTCTGTATAAAATCAATAAAATATATTTTAAAAGTCCCGAGTTTTTGAAAGATTCTTTTAAATCTTTTGGACTTTTTTAAAATGCCGCGGGACGCGGGACAAATTGTTGAAAATCGGGACTGTCCTGCCAAAAGCGGGACGTCTGGTCACCTTAGTCTCTACACTGGAGCGGCCAGATAATGGTGATCTCCGAACGCATCATGATCTGGCCACTCCGAGTGTGTCCTGTACCCGTGGTCGGCAAACCGCGGCTCACGAGCCACAGGCGGCTCCTGGGCCCCTTGCGTGTGGCTCTTCCACAAAACGCCACGGCCTGGGCGAGTCTGTGTTGAAGAAGTGGTGTTAGAAGATGTTTACGTTTAAAACATGCATCTCTTGGATGAGGACAATGGGGGATGGGGAGGGGGCAGAGGGTGGGGTGGGAGCCTGGTGGAGGGGGGAAGAAATGAGGAACCTTTGTAATAATATGAACAATAAAGATTGATTTAAAAATAAATAAAATAAATAAAATAAAATTCAAACAGCAAAAAAAAATAAATAAATAAAAAATAAAAAATAAAAAAGGAAAAAAAATCAATAAAATATATATTTAAAAAATAAAAATAAAAAAATAAAACATGCGTCTCTCCAGAGAAATGTCAGTCGTTGTGCTGTTGGTATTTGGCTCTGTGGACGGATGAGTTTGCCGACCGCTGGACTATATCATAAAAGGCTCATAGGCAAATGCCCCCTCGACCGGGAGTCCGACCAGCAGGCAGGCCAGCCGACCGCCCACGTCCCTTCCCCCTGGCCAGGCTGGCCGGACCCCACCCATGCACGAATTCATGCACCTGCCTCTAATATATATATATACACACGGAGTGGCCAGATTACTATTGGTTCAGAGATCATCATCATCTGGCCACTCCGTGTGTATACCTGTTAATACACACACACACACACACACACACACACACACACACACACACCCCGAGGTCACACAGCCTCAGGCAGGCTCTGCAGCTCCAGCAAAACAAGTGAGGACACGCCCGCTTCTGTACGGACCCGACTGCCCTCCCAGCCATGTGGGTGTTAAAGAGGAGGAAACCGGTGTGGCTCAGTGGATAGAGCGTCGGTCTGCAGACTGAAAGGTCTCGGGTTCGATTCCGGTCAAGGGCATGGACCTTGGTTGCGGGCACATCCCCGGTGCGGGGTGTGCAGGAGGCAGCTGATCGATGTTTCTCTCTCATCGATGTTTCTAGCTCTCTATCCCTCTCCCTTCCTCTCTGTACAAAATCAGTAAAATATATTTAAAGGTGAGGATCTCCACATGTTGAAGCTACACCATGTTACCCCGGCCGAGACACCCCATCTGCGACCCCACTCTCGGATGGAGCGGCAGCTCTGTTCCCTGCACGGATTCGGGGGAGCCCTCTTTTTCTGGGCGCCTTGGTCTGATAAAATGGGGTGTCTCTGGCTCTGTGGCTCAGTGGTTGAGCCTCAACCTGTAAACCCGGAGGTCTCGCTGGGTTCGATTCCCGCTCAGGGCACAGGCCCGGGTTGCAGGCTCCATCCCCAGTGGAGGGCGTGCAGGAGGCAGCGATCCTGATTCTCTCTCATCATCATGGGTGTTTCTATCTCTCTCTTCTTTTCCCTTCCTCTCTGACATCAATAAAAATCTATTAAATATTTTTTTTAAAAAAACACCTCGTGCCCTAACCGGTGTGGCTCAGTGGATAGAGCATCAGCCTGCGGACTGAAGGGTCCCGGGTTCGATTCCGGTCAAGGGCATGGACCTTGGTTGTAGGCACATCCCCGGTGGGGGGTGTGCAGGAGGCAGCTGATCGATGTTTCTCTCTCATCGATGTTTCTAACTCTCTATCCCTCTCCCTTCCTCTCTGTAAAAAAATCAATAAAATATATATTTTTTAAAAACACACACAAAAAAACACCCCAAACTCGGCCACTTTCCAGTGTGTATATATGTATGTATTTGTATTACCTCCCTCTAGGAAAAAAATGCAAAAAACAAACAAAATAGCCCTCTCAAGGCTTCTCATGCTGTGGGAGGTGGAAAGCAAAAGAGGGGACCCCCTGCTGCCGCCCCACTGCACCCCCCTGCCCTGCACCGCCCCCCCCGTGTTTGCACAAAGCAGGGGGCTGGGGTTTGCACAAAGCAGGGGGCTGGGGACCCAGGACACCTCGGCCTTTTTTTTTTTTTTTTTAACTGACGCAGGGACAGGGGTCAGGCAGGATGGGGACAAAGCCCTCTCTCTCTCTCTCTCTCTCTCTCTGGTCCCACAGGAGCCCTGCCTGCCCCCCGCCTTCCCGGGAGGATGTGCCCGGCTCTTTCCAATCAGGGCGGTGACAGGCTCAGATCCCCCACCGCCAACCTGGCCATCATCGGTTCAGGCCGTGCCAGCTCCAGGGCCCAGCGTTGCCATGGGGATCGGGTCTCTGGGTCCTTGTCCCAAGCCCCGTGCCCAGCCATCCCGCCCGCCCGGGGCCCTCAGACTCAGGAAGGCAGAGCAGCACCTGGCTCTAGAATGGACTAGCTTTTCTTTTCTTTCCCTCTCTCTTTCTTTCTTCTCTCTCTCTCTCTCTCTCCCCCCCCCCTTCCTTCCTTCCTTTTTAAGCACCAGAAGCAGTGGCCCATCTGCCCTCAAAACCGGAGCGACCATGCCACTCCCGGCCCCATGCAGGCCTGCCCGTCTGGGGCTGATGTGCGGAGAAATGCTAAACTCTTGCCCTGAACCAGAGAGATAGACATAGAGAGAGGGAGAGAGAGAGACAGAGAGACAAAGAGACAGAGAGAGAGAGAGACAGAGAGACAGAGAGACAAAGAGACAGAGAGAAAGAGAGACAGAGAGACAGAGAGACAGAAAGAGAGAGGGAGAGGGAGAGAGAGAGACAGAGAGACAGAGAGAGACAGAGAGAGAGACGGAGAGGGAGAGAGAGAGACAGAAAGAGAGAGAGACAAAGAGACAGAGAGATAGGGAGACAGAGAGAGAGACAGAGACAGAGACAGAGAGAGAGACAGAGAAACACACACACAGAGAGAGAGACAGGGAGAGAGAGACAGAGAGACAGAGAGAGAGACAGAGAGACACACAGAGAGATAGAGACAGAGAGAGACAGAAAGAGACAGAGAGAGAGACAAAGAGACAGAGAGAGATAGAAAGAGAGAGATAGGGAGACAGAGAGAGACAGAGACAGAGAGACAGAGAGACAGAGAAACACACACACACACACAGAGACAGGGAGAGAGAGACAGAGAGACACACAGAGAGAGACAGGGAGAGAGAGAGAGAGAAAGAGAGACAGAGAGACACACAGAGAGAGAGACAAGGAGAGACAGAGAGAAAGAGAGACAGAGACAGAGACGGAGAGAGAGACAGACAGACAGACAGACAGACAGACAGGGCTCTAGTCCCCCCCCAGCCAGAACCGCCTTTAGATCCCCTTTCCTTTAAGGAGCCGTGACGGCGGCGGGAGCGGTGCGGGGGCAGGGAGAGCCCCCCCACCTCCGCCCCCCAGACTGCGGAGCCTGGACCCGGGGCGCCTCCAGGGGCGCGGGGAGCCCGCCGCCCGCCCCCGCCGCCCGCCCCGCCGCCCGGGGCCGCCGCCCGGCGCTGCGCAAACCCCGCGGGGACGCGGCGCGCGGCGCTCCGCTCCGGGGAGGCGGCCGCGGGCCGGATCGGAAGCCAGGGGGCAGGGCCCCCCAAAGGCTCCCCCCCAAAGCCGGGGCTCCGGCTGCGCAGACCAGACCCTGCAGGCCGCGGGGCGCACGTCCTGGGCCCCCCCGGGAGAGCGCGCCCGGGGGCGGGGTGGGAACGGGGGCCGGGGGGTGCGCGCCCCGGGGACGGAGGTGGAGGGACGGGGGTGCGAGCCCCGGGGACGGGGTGGGAATGGGGGACGGGGTGCGCGCCCCGGGGGCGGGAGGGGAATGGGGGACGGGGTGCGCGCCCCGGGGGCGGGAGGGGGAGGGGGGGGACCCGGGCTCCGCGCTCACCCGGCACTTGCGCCCGTCCACCGTCTCCTCGTCGAAGCCCTCTCCGACCTTGAAGCTGATCTCGGTGGTGCGCACGGGGGTGGACGTCTTGATGTAGAAGCGGTCCCCGTCCTGGCGGATCTCCACGTGCGGCTTGGACGCGGCCGCCACGGCCACCTTCCGCAGCATGGCGTTCACCCCTGCGGGGAGGGGCGCGGCTGGGGGGCCGGGGCACCCCACACCCCCGCCTGCCTACCTGCAGCTGGGAGCTCCCGCATCCTGCAAAACCCCCCCACACACCCCTTGCCTGCCTGCAGCTGGGAGCTCCCGCATGAGGGGGGGTCCTTGGGCACCCCACACCCCTCGCCTGCCGCCCGCTTGCAGCTGGGAGCTCCCACACCCTGCAAACCCCCACACACACCCCGCCCGCTGCAGCTGGGAGCTCCAGCATGGGGGGGCCGGGGCACCCCACACCTTCCAGCTGCCTGCCTGCAGCTGGGAGCTCCCGCATCCTGCAACCCCCCCCCCCCACATACACACACCCCACCCGCTGAAGCTGGGAGCTCCCGCATGGGAGGGGGGGGCGGGGAACCCCCAAACCCTCCGCCTGCTGCCTGCCTGCAGCTGGGAGCTCCCGCATAGGGGGGGCCGGGGCACCCCACACCCCTCGCCTGCCGCCCGCTTGCAGCTGGGAGCTCCCGCACCCTGCAAACCCCCCCCCGCCCGCTGCAGCTGAGAGCTCCCGCATGGGGGGGGGGCCGGGGCACCCCCAAACCCTCCGCCTGCCGCCCGCCTGCAGCTGGGAGCTCCCGCATCTTGCAAACACCCCCCCCCCCCGCCCCGCCAGCTCCCCGCAACTCCCTCTTCCAGGGGAGAAACTCAGAGAGAGACCCATCGGGTTCGCGGTTTCACACCGACACCCCGAACCTCAAGCCCCGGACCCTCCTCGGTCGCACCCCAGGAACCATCCCTCCTCCGGATGGTCCCACGGACAGGAGCGAACCGGGGAGCCGTCGGGGGAGGGGAACCTGGCCCGACCCCCCCCCCCACCACCCCCGCCACACCCCCGGGGGGACTCGGATCTGAGCCCGGACAGAGACTTGCTCCTGCGGGGGGTGTCGGTCCCCAAAACGCACCGTCTGCGGGCTCGGGGCCCGTCCCGGGGGGGCGCCCGCGCGCTTACCCAGAGCCTTGAGGAGCTCGTCGAAGTTCTCGCTGCTCCGCATCTTCCAGGTGCCGGCGAAGTTGGGCATCGTGGCGGCGGCGGCGGCTGCGCTCCGGCTGCTCGGCGGAGACTGCGCGCTGCGCCCGGCGCGCCCCGATCTATGGCGAGCGCCCCCGCCCGCCCGCCCGCCCGCCCCGCCCCCGGCCCCGCCCCGCCCGCCGCCCGGCGCCCGCCCTCCCCTCGCGGCGTCAGGGGCTCGGGGTGCGAGCCCGGCCCCCCCCCCCCCCCCCCCGATCCAGCCATCCAAGCGGGAGAGGGGCGCTCCGCCGCCGCGCCCACCCCTCCCCGGGCTCCGCTCTGACAGCAGCGGGCGCTCGCGGTTGGAAGGAACGGGACGGGGGCACGGAGGGGTCATTGTGGGAGCGGGGCGGGGAGGAGGTGGGGGAGGCATTGGACCGTCCTCTCCACTTTTTATTTAAAATATAGACGTTATTGATTTCTTACCGAGAGGAAGGGAGAGGGATAGAGAGCTAGAAACATGGATGAGAGAGAGACATCGACCAGCTGCCTCCTGCACGCCCCCCACTGCGGATGTGCCCGCCTCCAAGGTGCATGCCCTGGGGACCGGAATCGAACCCGGGACCCTTCTATCCACTGAGCCAAACAGTTTCGCCATCCTCTCCACTTTTATATATAAATGTGTTTTGTTTTTTTTATTGCCCTGTTTGGGCTCATGGTTTTGCCTGAGCTTGCGGACCGAAGGGTCCCGGGTTCGATTCCGGTCAAGGGCAGGTAGCTCGGTGGCAGGGTCCCCGCCCTGGTCGGGGGACATGCAGGAGGCAACCAATCCATGGGCCCCTCCTTTACGCTCTCTACAAATCAATGCAAAAAGGGTCCTCGGGAGATGATTGGGAAATAACAAAATATGTTTTTGTTTTTAAATATATTTTATTGATTTTTGTACAGAGAGAAAGGGAGCGAGATAGCGAGTCAGAAACATCGATGAGAGTCATCGATCAGCCGCCTCCTGCACACCCCCCACTGGGGATGTGCCCGCAACCGGGGTACATGCCCTTGACCGGAATCGAACCCGGGACCCTTCAGTCTCCAAGCCGATGCTCTATCCACTGAGCCACACCGGACTCGGCCAAAATATGTTTTTGTTTTTAAATTGATGTCAGAGAGGGAGAGAGAGAGAAAACATCCCTGATGAGAGAGAATCCAGGGTTGGCTGCCTCCTGCACGCCCCCTATTGGGGATCAAGCCCCAAACCCGGGCAGGTGCCCTGACCCCCGTGACCTCCTGGTTCACAGGTCGGGGTTCAACCCCTGAGCCAGGCCGGCCAGTCCATCCTGGCCTCCTGAGTGTTGGAAACATCTGGGGTGGGGCCCCCCGAGGATGGGAGCCGCCTCGCCCACTCCCAGGGGCGCCCGTGCACGTGCCCAGCCGGCTCCTGTGCTATGGCGCCGGGGCTCTCACTCCGTGTCCCCGCCCACCACGTGCGCGGGGGGGCCAAGTGGGCCGGAGCGGGAAAGCCCGGCCCCTCCCCGCCAGCACCCTCCTGGGCGCAGCTGTGCCGAACCCAGCATCCCGCGAGATTGTGGGCCTTCATCCCGCGGCGGAACCCAGCATCCCGCGAGATTGTGGGCCTTCATCCCGCGGCGGAACCCAGCATCCCGCGAGATTGTGGGCCTTCATCCCGCGGCGGAACCCAGCATCCCGCGAGATTGTGGGCCTTCATCCCGCGGCGGAACCCAGCATCCCGCGAGATTGTGGGCCTTCATCCCGCGGTGGAACCCAGCATCCCGCGAGATTGTGGGCCTTCATCCCGCGGTGGAACCCAGCATCCCGCGAGATTGCGGGCCTTCATCCCGCAGTGGGACCCTCAGTGGGTTCAGGGAGTCAGGGGTGGAGGGTGGGGCCCGGGAAGCTGTGTTCCGCGAGCTTTCCGGGGGACCCCACGTTGGCCCTGCAATCTTCCGTGACCTGCGTGCCTGCAAGAGGGGGGAGGGCGGGCGTAGGAGCTAGGGGCCTCGGGATGGGGGCCCACAATCTCGGGGTCCCACAGTTTCTGGCTTAGTAGGTGGGGACACAGTGAAAAGGCTTGAGGCGGCCTTAGTCCGTCTGGCTCAGTGGATAGAGCGTGGGCCTGGGGACTGGAGGATCCTGAGTTTGATTCCTGGGGCACAGGCCTGGGTTGCAGGGATCGGCTGCCTCCTGCACGCCCCCCCCCCCCACTGGGGATCGAGCCCATAACCCAGGCCTGTGCCCTGACCAGGAACCGAACCCGGGACCCTTCAGTCTGCAGGCCGGCGCGCTATCCACTGAGCTACACTGGCCGGGGCTGTCATTTACTTGTCACACCGTCCTGTGAGAGGGAACTAAGCTAGTCCAGGGGCGCCTCTCAGCAGTAGGGCTCCCCTCTCCCTCCTCCACCCCCTAACCCTCCCACCCCCCGCATCAGGTGGCCTCCCCTTAGCATCAGGGGTTCCCCGAGTCCAGGCTGACGTTGATTTGTCTGCAGGCTGCAGTGGCGGCAGCTAAATCCTGGTCTCGCCTCCCTCACCCCCTCTCACCCCCCCCCCGGGTGCATTTTAGAGGGGAGCTGGGCCGGGCCCTCTCTCCAAGGCCCCTTTGTTCTCCGCAGGCGGCCCCCGCCTCGGCTTCCCAGGCCACTAACCTGCGTCCCCTTGTCCCCGTCGGTCGAGGGTCCGGCACGTTTCTGCTGAGGTTTGCTCCTTCGGCCTGGAGGCCTGCCAGGGCCCCAGCCTCCCAGGGCCTCTGGCCTGGCCCCGTGCCCTCCGGCAGGCTGAATTCAGGCTGGAAGAATGGGGGTGAGAGTTCAGGCCCCGACGCTGGGGGCGCCGAGGAGGGTCCCGGGAGGGGGTCTTCAGGGGGTTGGAGCCGCTGCGCCGGGGACCCTGGGAGTCAGCAGAACAGGACAAAGAGCCGGGTTCCCGGGAAAGATAGGGGGCGGGGGGGGGGGTAACCTGCCCTGGGGGTGCTCCTGAGGTTAATGGAGTGGAAGGTGCACTGGAGGGGGAGTCGGGGGGGGGGGCTGGGGGTCAGGGAGCCCATCGGAGACAAAATAGCTGACATGTACTGAGCTCTGACTCGATTGCCCGCCAGGTCCGTCCGTCCATCAGTCCGTTCGTCCCCCCATCCGGCTGTCCATCCTTTACCTCCTGCCTGGGAGCGATAGTCATCACGGGTAAGGGCACACCTCGCTGGCTAACTCAGAGCTGAGAGTACATCAGCCGGGGGTGCACGTCTGGCCCCAGATCTTTATTCTTTTATTTTTATTTTTTAATATATTTTATTGATTTTTTTTTTTTTTTTTTTTTTTTTTTTTACATAGAGGAAGGGAGAAGGATAGAGAGTTAGAAACATCCATCAGCTGCCTCCTGCACACCCCCCACCGGGGATGTGCCTGCAACCACGGTACATGCCCTTGACCGGAATCGAACCCGGGACCCTTCAGTCCCCAGGCCGACGCTCTATCCACTGAGCCACACCGGTTGGGGCGGTCTTTATTCTTTTAAATATACATGATTCTAACTCATTTCGGAGAGGAAGGAAGAGGGGGAGGAGAGAGGAACATCCATGATGAGAGAGAGTCATGGATCGGCTGCCTCCTGCACGCCCCACACCGGGGATGGAGCTGGCAACCCAGGCCTGTGCCCTGACCGGGAACCGAACCCGGGACCCTTCAGTCTGCAGGCCGATGCTCTATCCACTGAGCCACACCGGCTGGGGCTGTCATTTACTTGTTACAACCATCCTGTGAGAGGGTTTGTGTCCTCGCCCCCAGCGCTCAGCCCAGGCCCGGCACCTCGCCGGCCCTCCACGGAGGCTCCGGGCTTGCACGCCCGCCCGCCCGCCCGCCCGCTCTTGAAAACGCCAGCCCGCCCTCGCATTAAATCTGATTTACACGCGCGCCGGGATCCTCGGGCGGCCATCGCTCATCGGCAAACACGGCAGCCGCTCCCTCCCTCCCTCCCTCCCACCCGGTGCGGGGGGAGCCGGCAGATTGATGGCCGGCAGCCCGGCCCCGGGGAAGCCGGGCCTCGGCTCCCGCCGGCCCCCGCCGGCCCCCACGTGGCCCGTCCACCTGCCGCCCGCCCGGCGGTGGCCGCAGGGGGGTCAGCTGCTGCCTCGCGCCGATCGATCGGATGCCACATGGCTCCTCGGAACGGACCCCATCGGCGGGGCTGATCAATCACCCCTCGGCCGGGCGCGGTCCCCTGCGCGGAGCGTGCGTCCTGCACAATGCCCGCCGGTCACGCCGATGGATGGCCTTTCACACCGGAGCAGCCTGGCTCCCTAATGGAGGTTGACGGATGTGGGGCTGGGGGCGGGGGGGAAGGAGGGGGGCACAGCCACAGGCGGACAGCTGCTCTGCCTCCCAGATGCCCAGGGGAGGCAGCTGGGGGAGCCCCCACCCGAGGGCCTGGGGGCCAGGAGGGCTGGGGGACAGCTGCCCCCTCGCCCCGGTCTCTGGCCCCGGATGGCGGCTGCGTCAGCGCCGGTAACGTGGACATCCGTCATCGTAACCAGACGCCTGCATTCCGGGGGCCCTGCCATCCGCTCCCCCTCCATCTCCCCCCTCCCGCCCCCCGCAGGAGGGAGTATTTAATTATCGCTTCTCTCCCGCTCCCTCGGGTGTTTGCAAACGTGATTCATGGGCATATTGTTAGCTCCTCCGCGGAGCGCCGGGGAGGGGAGCCCTCCGCCTGCCAGCCCCTCGCGGCACAGCCAGCTCAGCTCCGGGCAGCTGGCCCCTCCGGCCCCCCCGGAGCCGCCCACACCCCCTGCCCTGGGCCTAGACACGGCCACCCCGTTCCCGTCCACGGGCCCAGGGTGGGAATCGGAGCCCACGTTTCACAGGGGAACTGGGCCACAGACAGTGAAAGGGCCTGTTAGGAGGGACCCCAGGAGCAGGAAATTGGGGGGGGGGGGGGTGGCGGCAGGGGGTGAACCCCGAGAAAGAAGGACTCCCTCCGGCCCCCGCCTGGGTGTCCGCCTTCCCCGTGGTGCAGGGTCCCTGTGGGGGCAGAACCGGCTCCACCACCTCCTCGCTGTGTGGCC